CCCCAAAACCCCAAAACCCCAAAACCCCGGATTTCAAACCCTATATTGAAATTTTACAATATTTCATGGAAACAATTATAGAAGAAAAGTTCATCAAATTTGAACTTAGTGGCATCCAGATCACTTATATAGACCAGGTCCTTAGAAAAGAAGCTGAGTATATCATTAGCAACTACAACCCGGAGTTCCGGAAAGATTGAATCGTTATGAAGGATGGGAAGGACGAGCAAACACAAACATGCTTGTGATACCTGAGACAGCTGAAAGATATGGTTGAAGGTAAGGCTTTCTGAGCACCCTTTATTCATAGTTTAGATATCCGAATCATACAACTGCCAGCTCTAGAACCTGAAGTCATTAAGTTCTTGCAAGAAGAGCATGAGTCTGGAGGAAAAAGACTTGATGTCTTCTGTAAAAGCTCACGACTAGCCCATGATGATAAGGCTCTAATTGGAGACGATCCAAGTTTTTATTTGTTTCTAAATAAAATATCAAGTGAATTTTCAGGAAAATTTAGTAACTCTTTCACATTATCATAATTTATAGATGCTATTGAGATCTTTGAAGACTATATGCTAAATAAAGAAGCCACAGAAAAAGAGAGATGTATTGAAGAAGTTAAAGAGTCAGTGAAAAGTGCCGAAACTTCTTTAGAGTCAAAAGAAGACAAAATAAAAATTGTTATAATAAAAACCAGACCTGATATCATGCAAGCCTTCTTCGCTCCTTTTTACTATCACAAAGTGCTTGAGCTCATAGTAGCTAGTTCTGGTAAATCCTTAGAAGCAAAAGAACACATCAGCATTGGAACAAAAGGAAAGATGTCAAAAGATAGTAGTAAATAAAATGATAAGCTTCAAATGCAACAAATCCCTGTCTGAAAAAGAAAGAGATGAATTCTTTAACCAATGAGAAAGCGAACTCAACAAAGATTGCATCAAAGTAGACCAAACCCATCTTCCCTCCCAAACCCAATCTGAGAAATGGTGGTACTTCAAAGATGATACTGGTATCCTGATTCCTTACTCTAAGAAACTAAATAACTTGACTGAAAAATCCTTCAAGAAAATGAAGCTCAGCCTCCAATCCAACCCCAAGCCTAGAGCCATCCTAAAAGTACAAGAAGGAAGCTTTGAATATATAATCGATCTGAGTACTTCAAGATTAGGGGAAGGAACCCAGAAAAATACCGGAACTAAAAAGGTCAGAAAGATCTTCAGGAAAGATTCTTACTTTTCAACTGAGGATAAAAGGTTGCATCACCTTGAAAAGGAGCTCAAGTTCAAACCATTGGCTCTGTCTTTCAAAGCGTACCCAAGAAATTGGACAGACATTGAGAAGTTGAGTTATAAGACTAGTATTTATAACACAGTAAAAGTTGACTTATCCTCCTCTGAAGCTAAGAAGATTTTTGATTTTGTTAAAAAGAGCGGGAGTAAAGCCAAAATACTACAAATAGAAAGAATCCAGAACTTGGCAGCATACCAGAAGTACAGTAAAGAAAAGGAGATGATACAACAAAAATATGAAGATGGTGAAAGGATCGAGAGCCTTCTATTTCATGGTACTAGTATCACTAACCCTACCACAGTGATTTCATCTGAAGAAGGGTTTGATATGAGGTTTTCAAGGCAGGGACTTTGGGGTAGAGGTATTTACTTTGCAGAAAAGATGGAATATTCTGATAAATATGCTTTTCAAGATTCATCTGATAGCTCTAAAGCAAAACAAGTCTTTCTAGCGCAAGTGCTAACTGGAAAAAGCTGTAGCTTGACATCTGATAAAGCACTAATAATACCCCCAACGAATGAATCGACACTGCTAAGATATGACTCAGTTGAAGGTAAAGCAGAAGGAAGCAATATTCACATCGTGTATGAGAATGGGAGAAGCTATCCCAAATATTTGCTTTCGTACTCGTACTAGTTATTACCACAAATAGTCTTGTTCAATTAATTTTGGAACCCTAGGGGTTTTGGGGTTTTGGGGTTTTGGGG